TGATCTCAGCTTAGAAAGAGGACCCTTCCTTGGAAACCTGTCGTGCCTCTGCTATGGACAAGCCTGACGTGAAGGAGCATCCCACAGCGTACTTCTTCCGCGATCGGGTCCTAATGCGACAGTGGTCCCCACCGGACTCGCCTTTTGAGTGGGCTACGGTGTTCCAGGTGGTAGTCCCGAGATTGTACCGTGATTATGTGTTGTCCTTAGCTCATGATCACCCGTGTTCAGGTCACCTCGGTATCCGGAAGACATTGTCCCGCATTTTGCAATATTTCTATTGGCCGGGAGTTCATTCGGATGTGAAAAACTATTGTAAAACTTGTCATGTCTGCCAGGCTGTGGGTAAGCCCAATCAGATAATTGCACCTGCCCCGTTACATCCCATACCTGCAGTCGGAGAACCCTTTGAACATGTCATTATTGACTGTATTGGCCCGTTGCCGAAGACTCGCTCGGGTAATTGTTATTTATTCACCTTGATGCGTGCTGCAACTCGCTACCGGGAAGCTATCTCCATACGTAGTCTTCGGACTCCTGTGATTGTGAAGAGCCGGAAATTTGTGAAACATCAATTGGAATATAGTGCCATAGATCTTTTTTTAATATGGTCCTGTTTCATCATTTTTGTAACTTCTGTTTGTGATTGTGAATCCCTCTCGGAGTTCACTCTTGTGTGGGGAGGTGTTACGTGCCGTAAGTTTGGGTTACGTGCCGTAAGGAGGATGCCTACAGGTTCTCCGGACATCCTGCCCACTCGCCCATTGGTTAACCGCTCCCTCGACTCCTCCCTCTGGACCTGGTCCCGCCTCCCTTGCCTTCAGAGCAGTTTCCGGTTCGTCGGATGAAGAGGCTGCAGCTTCGCCACTTCGGCGGCCCGCTACTTGCTTCTCGCCTGCTAGCTCGCTTTTCGTCCGCTTTGCTTTTTGTATGACTGCTTGTGTATGACTGTTTTGTTCTTGACTTCTGATTTTCGCCTCATCCCTTATTGTACCTTTGCCCTGGTTTTGACTGGTTTTGATTCCCAATCCCTCCTTCCCTTTCACTTTGTTAGGCTCCAACCCTAGACTGGAGAGTAACAGCTGTAACATGAGTTGTAATAAATTTAGTCTGTGTGATGGTGCATCTGTGCATGTTTCCTTTGACACTGTGTACAGCCACGATTCCAACATCATACATGCAGCTTATTTGACTTGAAATTTTAAGCCAAATGAAAGTGAACTAAAAGAGTTTCCCAAATTAATCTATCCCTCTGGTTCATTTCCTGTTCCTGTAGCAGTAACATTAANTTTCCGGTTCGTCGGCTGAAGAGGCTGCAGCTTCACCACTTCGGCGGCCCGCTACTTGCTTCTCGCCTGCTAGCTCGCTCTTCGTCCGCTTTGCTTTTTGTATGACTGCTTGTGTATGACTGTTTTGTTCTTGACTTCTGATTTTCGCCTCATCCCTTATTGTACCTTCGCCCTGGTTTTGACTGTCTGCTTGGTTTTGAACCTTCGCTTGTACTTCAACTTCGCCTCTCTGATCTCCCCTCTGGATACCTTTGCTTCGACTGTGTGTTTCGTGTTCCACTAGGTGTGTGTAGGTAGTGTCTGCCCTGTTTGTTTCCTCGTAAACGTGGGGGTTATTGTTTGTTTGGGTTAGAGAGGCATTGTTGTTTCATTTCACCCTTTTGTTTTCACTTAGGATTAGCTTGGCTTGGGGTTATATTCAGTAGATGTGGTTTTGTTTGTTTCTTTGGCCGTTGTCACTCCTGACGTTTGTTACACCTAGTGTTTGTACAGTGTCTGTGAAAAACTATAAAAAAAAACTATAAAAAAGACTCCCTTTGTGTCCCGTGTTCCCTTCTAGCCCTGGTTGTCCTGTCCTTCCCAATCCCTCCTTCCCTTTCACTTTGTTAGGCTCCAACCCTAGACTGGAGCGTAACAAAATTGGGGGCTCGTCCTTTCCTTCTTTCCTTTTCATGCTTGTCTGGCGGATTTTTTTTGTGTGGGGGGGGTGTTGTGGTTGTTGCAATAATAGTGATGGCCCGGTTCGATCTCGTCGCTTTTACCATCTACCCCACACTTGAACAATTCGATGAGTGCCGTAAAGACGATTTGCTGCAAATTGCAGAATTCTTTAATGTTTTGGTTCCCGCTGAGGCATCCAAGCCTGCTCGATGAATTGATTCAGCTAGGTATTCTGCCTGAGTTGGGTGAGTCCCCGAGTGTTGCTGCTAACCCGGTACGGTTGTCTGCTGCAGCGGAGGCCAGCAGCAACGATCTAGGGGTTGGACACCGCATGGATCTTGGAGATCCCCGCTCAACCAGGGAGGACCTATTGCTTACGATTAAGCTAAGGGAGCTCGAACTCGAGATCAAAAGACAGGAATACCAGGCTCAGCTACTCCGTGTCCGGGCAGTGGAGATTGAGGCTGACAAAGAGCTGGAATTACGGCGGTTGAGCATGGGTGACCAGAAACCGGTGCCTCTTCCGCGTAAGGTACCCACACCAGGTAGGACTCCACCAGCAGCCCGCCCCGCCCGAGACCAAGCCGATGCCCTAGACGCTCCTAGGCCCAGTCCCCGGTCTCCCTTGAGTTCGCCTGTCTCTCTGGAAATTGGTAAGTCGAGCTTTGATGTTAGCCAACACATCGGTCTTGTTCCTGTGTTTCGGGAAAATGAGGTAGACGCCTACTTTTCCATTTTTGAAAGCATTGCCATGATGTTGAACTGGCCCAAACATCTCTGGTCACTATTATTGCAATGCAAGCTTGTAGGTAAGGCACAGGAGGTTTGTTCGGCTCTCACGTTAGAGCAGAGTCTCGACTACGATATTGTGAAGGCTTTATGAATTATTGCCAGAAGCCCATAGACAGAACTTTAGGAAGCTTCAGAAATCCGCCAGCCAAACATACGTGGAGTTTGCACGTGAGAAAGCAGTTCTATTTGATAAGTGGTGCAGCGCCAGCGGGGTGCTTAATTTCTACCAGCTTAAGGAACTGGTATTGCTGGATGAATTTAAAAACTGTGTTCCTGATCGGGTGGTAGTTTATTTAAATGAACAAAAGGTCGGTTTTTTGACCAAAGCTGCCACCCTCGCTTACAAGTTCATTTTGACTCATAAAACTGTGTTTATCCCGACTCCTTTGCCTCGTAAAACTCACCCTCGTCCATTTGTGGCTTCTCCCTCGTCAGCACCGTCTCCCCCGCCCATGGAGAAACGGGAGTGCTTCTATTGTCATGAAGTGGGCCATATTATATCTGTTTGTCCTGCGTTAAAGCGCAAGAAAGCTCGCGCAGCAACCAGAAAAGTGAATGTTGCTGCCTGCCCTGACAGTTCTTCACCCTCGTCCTCTCGTATTGACACTGCTTTTGAACCTTTTGTATTTTCTGCTTC